TTTTTTTTTAACATTGTTTTTAAAAACTTTTCTTTTTTTTGGATGTTATAATTAATAGTCACCTTCTGTTCATAATATTGGTTGTTAGATCTTAGACAAATGTCAAGATGATGAGCAATGCAATACCTAATGCACAGATCTGTATTTAGACATTTATCTGAATCATTTTTGTCCCTCTCTTTACATTCATATATATATATATATATATATGTGTATTAATTGGTATCAGGGTTAGTATTGGATATGTAATCGTGTATGCTCCGTCTCCTTATTTTTACAGTACATTTTTTACAATCTTTCGCAAATCATAATAAAATATGCATTTTTCATACAATACATTATAATGTCGTGATGCCTAAATTCACATTGTGAGTTAAAGTTGAGGTGAAAACACTGATCTGTGTGGAGAAATAATTCACTCTGATTGCATGGATTTCTATTGAAATAACTGGATTTCACTAACAATCCACAGTTCGAAAATTCACCATACAATGGTGAATGTGACCATGTCCTAACTGATTTTTAGTGTTGTGTTCTAAATGTATTAAAATAAATTAGTGTATAATGTTAATATCGGCCATTTATTGGTTATCGGTTATCAGTAGTAACATTACAATAATTATCGGCTTATTGATATCACCCAATATTATTATTATTTTTTTATCTGTTAGTATTGGATATGTAATTGCATGCTCATTTCCCCTATTGTTACATTTAATTTAATTTCGCCATCATCCAACACTCACTTACAGGTTCTCTCTAAAAACACCATTAATTTGAATCTTCATGAAATCATAATAAAATTAACATCTATTTTAAATTGCTGTCATTTTGGCAAAATTTCACTGGCAAAAAGTCCACTGTCTGTTTGCCTGACCAACTTGATTTCTGAGGAGAAATCACAAAAAATCTGATTTCAGAAATGTTGAAAATCGCTTAACAGTAAATGTGATTTTAATTTTTGGTGTTTACTTTTTTTTTTTAAATTATGTAATTATGTAATATTGGCTATTTATTGGATATGTTGGGAACAGGAACATAATTATTGATACCAACATCAGCCTTACTCATAGCGGCCAGAATTTGTATTTGCTTCATCCCTACCCCAAACGCACACAATATATATCATACATCAAAGATCCTGAGTGCGTGACACATTCAGAGCACACTTTTGGCTAATTCTGAAAACGTGTCATCATGCTAACTCATGTTTCTTCTTCTCAGGTTCATAATCTAGTTGCAATTGAGTTGGCCTATATAAACACCAAACATCCTGATTTCACAGACGCTGCCCAAGTGTCTGCATCTGTCAACAGCCAGCAGGTACTAAAACTCTCTCGGTCTCTCCGTCCTTCTCTCTCTCTCTCCAAATCCAAACAGGAGTAGTTTTTGTTTTATCGTCTCTTTCACAGGCGGAGGCTGGGGATGGAGGTAAGAGATGGAAGAACGAGAAGATGCCGTCGGAGGAGAAAGGCCCCGTGCCAGGGTTTGGGAGTCCCAATAAAGCCGTCAACCTGCTGGACACGGTACGTCTTTGCTATCTCATAACTGCAGAAGTCAACAATACCTGCACATTCAAATGAAAACAACTTCTGAAAATGTTTCTGAAGGCCGTGCCAGTGTCCCGCAAGCTGAGCACTCGAGAGCAGAGGGACTGTGAGGTCATCCAGCGGCTCATCAAGTGCTACTTCCTGATCGTGCGCAAGAGCATCCAGGACAGGTCAGATTCATAGTGCCTGTCCATGTAGGAGCCAAATAACTGGATAAGCCACTTTCACATCTGATCGTTTTTTTTTCTGCTTTCTGTAGTGTGCCAAAGACGGTAATGCACTTCCTGGTGAATTTTGTGAAAGAGCATTTGCAGAGTGAGCTGGTCGGTCAGCTCTACAAACAGCGTCTGCTGCAGGAGCTGCTCATCGAGTCTCAGGAAACGGCTCAGCAGCGCACGGAGGTTGCACAGATGCTGGAGGTACGGCTGTGTGTGTTTGAAGGACATTTAAACCTCTTAATGCATTGGGGTCAGTTTTAACCCTGAACAGATAAATAAACATTTCTAAAAAATTAAGGGTGTGCGATAATGACAAAAAATTATATCTCGATATTCTCTGGAATTTTGTCAGTAACTATAATTAGACGATATTTTGCTGAGCGTGTTATTGTGCTGGTACTTTGAAAAAAAAAGTGTTGAGGTGGCACAGATTCTGCATCTGAAGTGGCATTTAGATGCATTCACACAGACTATTTAATGCAGGACATGAATGCAGTGCAGGTAACCTGCAGTTGCAAATGCATAAATTATGTTTTGATGTTGAATACTGATATTTGAAATGATTTGGGGGGAAAAAGGGAAAATATACTTTAAATATAAACCTAAAATCACCAGTAGGTGGTGGTAAATCACTGCATGAGTGAGTAATTGAGTCATTCATTCAACCGATTTGTTCAAAGGCTGATTGATTCAGTAACGAAACGGAGATACAAAACAGTTCTGCTGTGGCTTTGTTTGAAACCATTTTCGTTGATGAAATAGAGCAAAAACAAGAACTGTTGTGTCTAAAATGTAAGTCAGTTAATATTAAAGGTGGGGTAAGTGATTTCTGGTAGCCAATGTTGATATTTCAAATCCCCAAAACAAACACGCCCCTACCCCAAAATGGTCTCGCCCCTATTTTGATAGCTCCACCCCACACATTCGTACGCAACCCAGGCAACGATTAGTTCTGTGAAACAAAGCAAAACCAATGTTACACCGTGTCTACATCGGATGCGAGCGGCGCGACAAAATACCATTGGAGGTAAGAGATGGAAGAACGAGAAGATGCCGTCGGAGGAGAAAGGCCCCGTGCCAGGGTTTGGGAGTCCCAATAAAGCCGTCAACCTGCTGGACACGGTACGTCTTTGCTATCTCATAACTGCAGAAGTCAACAATACCTGCACATTCAAATGAAAACAACTTCTGAAAATGTTTCTGAAGGCCGTGCCAGTATCCCGCAAGCTGAGCACTCGAGAGCAGAGGGACTGTGAGGTCATCCAGCGGCTCATCAAGTGCTACTTCCTGATCGTGCGCAAGAGCATCCAGGACAGGTCAGATTCATAGTGCCTGTCCATGTAGGAGCCAAATAACTGGATAAGCCACTTTCACATCTGATCGTTTTTTTTTCTGCTTTCTGTAGTGTGCCAAAGACGGTAATGCACTTCCTGGTGAATTTTGTGAAAGAGCATTTGCGAGTGCCTGTCCATGTAGGAGCCAAATAACTGGATAAGCCACTTTCACATCTGATAGTTTTTTTTTCTGCTTTCTGTAGTGTGCCAAAGACGGTAATGCACTTCCTGGTGAATTTTGTGAAAGAGCATTTGCAGAGTGAGCTGGTCGGTCAGCTCTACAAACAGCGTCTGCTGCAGGAGCTGCTCATCGAGTCTCAGGAAACGGCTCAGCAGCGCACGGAGGTTGCACAGATGCTGGAGGTACGGCTGTGTGTGTTTGAAGGACATTTAAACCTCTTAATGCTTTGGGGTCAGTTTTAACCCTGAACAGATAAATAAACATTTCTAAAAAATTAAGGGTGTGCGATAATGACAAAAAATTATATCTCGATATTCTCTGGAATTTTGTCAGTAACTATAATTAGACGATATTTTGCTGAGCGTGTTATTGTGCTGGTACTTTGAAAAAAAAAAAGTGTTGAGGTGGCACAGATTCTGCATCTGAAGTGGCATTTAGATGCATTCACACAGACTATTTAATGCAGGACATGAATGCAGTGCAGGTAACCTGCAGTTGCAAATGCATAAATTATGTTTTGATGTTGAATACTGATATTTGAAATGATTTGGGGGGAAAAAGGGAAAATATACTTTAAATATAAACCTAAAATCACCAGTAGATGGTGGTAAATCACTGCATGAGTGAGTAATTGAGTCATTCATTCAACCGATTTGTTCAAAGGCTGATTGATTCAGTAACGAAACGGAGATACAAAACAGTTCTGCTGTGGCTTTGTTTGAAACCATTTTCGTTGATGAAATAGAGCAAAAACAAGAACTGTTGTGTCTAAAATGTAAGTCAGTTAATATTAAAGGTGGGGTAAGTGATTTCTGGTAGCCAATGTTGATATTTCAAATCACCAAAACAAACACGCCCCTACCCCAAAATGGTCTCGCCCCTATTTTGATAGCTCCACCCCACACATTCGTACGCAACCCAGGCAACGATTAGTTCTGTGAAACAAAGCAAAACCAATGTTACACCGTGTCTACATCGGATGCGAGCGGCGCGACAAAATACCATAGAACTCATTATAATCTGTGAACACCATAAATATATATATATATATAACACCTATGGTCTACACTGGATGTGGCGCAGCACGGCACGACAAATCCCCGACTGAAAACTGCTGCTGTGTTCTATTTATGATGTGTTGACACAAATTTCAAATGATTTTCAACGGTCCAGTGTAGACAGGCTTTAGCTGTGGCGGCGCGTGCAGTGTTGACACGGTGTTACTCACCTATCGAGAAGAAACAAAGCAACCTTGGCGTCCGATCGCAGGCCTTCCGCTCCTTGAGTTCTCTCCAGCGCTGGAAAGCTGATCCGAAATTAACACGGGTCCTACTTTTTGCCTTATCGTAAGCCTTCTTTTGTTCCGCAGACGTTTTCCTCTTTTGTTTTCATTTTTGTCCTCTCAGATTCACATGCTGAGAGGCTGCTGTGCTTTAGTCGTTAGGCTGTTTGTTCTCTCGTAAAAGTTGTCTATAAATCCATCCCATCTAAAGCACCGCCTCAACAGCCATACACATCGAGGCAGTTTCAGATGCCATGGCAAGTTAATAGTAGTTCCAATCCATTGCACTTGATAGCTGGTGTGTGGTGGGCGTTCTGACGCGCTTTAGCTAATGCTGCATCATCTTCTAATGTCAGCCTTGCATTCTGTTCTCTTATGCTACATCTTTCTGTCTTTGGGCACAGTAATGCGTTCTGTGTGCACAGTATGTCTTCAACAAACATTCAACCATATTAACTGTCAGTGTTGGGGAGCTTCTTTGAAACTGCAGACTGTCAGGCTACAAGCTTCTCATAATTAATGGACTGTAGTTTAAAGTAGTTAAACATTTTATACATAAGTAGTTAGTAAACTAATAAAACATATATCTCTATAATGAAGCTATTTTAGCAGACAGTGAGTTTCATACACTAACTGTTTATTATTACTTATTAGACTATTAATTAAATAAGTAGTTATTAGACTATTAGTAATATATCTCTATAATGAAGCTATTTTAGCAGACAGTGAGTTTCATACACTAACTTTGTGTACGTGTAAAAATTGCATACGGAAGTGTAACACTTTATTTTAAGGACCAATTCTCACTTTTAAATAGTTGCTTATTAGCATGCATATTACTAGCATATTGGCTGTTTATTATTACTTATTAGACTATTAATTAAATAAGTAGTTATTAGACTATTAGTAGTTATTAGACTTCCCCTATATCTAAACTTAACAACTACCATACTAACTATGAATAAGCAGCAAATGAGGAGTTTATTGAGGCAAAAGTCATAGTTAATCGTTAGTTAATATTGAGAACTGGTCCCTAAACTAAAGTGTGACTTGAAAGGCTTCATGCAGAAATCATGATTCATGAGTAGGTTGCACTAAAATTTATTTTCAACTGAAATTACATCTACACACAAATCACATTTACACTAAGCCAGTTATTTTTATGAATTTTTAAAAATATTTGTAATTTTTTAAAATGAAATATGTATAAGAAATTGAAACTAAGTGACTCTACAAAAGTATTTGTTATTTTAATAATAATAATAATAATAATAATAATGTATTTTTATTTTAATAATTATTAATCATAATAATTTCTGAGCAACAATAAAAAATAGCACAAAAAGTAGCAACACATTAAAAAATATGAGCTGCTGGCAGGTTAACAAAAAATAATTACATAATTTTAGTTCTATATTCCCCAACACTGTTAGTTATTAGGTGCTTTAGGATCCCAAACCAACAGGTTTTTATGCAGTTTGCTTTGTGTTACTAATGCTGCTCTTCTGCTTTCTCCTTTAGGCGCTCAAGAAAGCCAGTAACATTATCTCAGAGATCCGGGAGACTCATCTTTGGTAGCCAAACGTTCTCATTAACATTCTGTCCAGGAAAGTGTTTACATGTTTGTGTGTGCTTGTATGTGTGAGTGTGTGACATAAGTCAAATACACCATCTGAAGAAATTCAATGCCTCTGCCAGCATGAACATTCAACAAAATGTGTACAGTTTTCCAAATGCTCCTTATTTCTACTGTATATGCACTGATTCCATGTTTGACAGAGGTCAAAAGTGTGTGTGCGTGCGTGCGTGCGTGCGTGCATGTGTGTGTGTGTGTGTGTGTGTGTGTGTGTGTGTGTGTGTGTGTGTGCGTGTGTGGTTGTGCATGTGCGTGTGTGTACTCAGTAGCTCAGATATAGTGAACATATCAAGTCTGTGTCGTGATCTTCAACCATATCAATCATAAACGTTTCGAAATGGTTTTTCGCCATTATGACGAATACTCTTTAATTCAACATTATAAGAATTAAGTAGTGTCTCAAATGCTACTGAGAGCATCCCAAGAACACTCGAATTCTCATACGCTCACGTGGTTGATAACAGGAATCACACCACAATGAACAATTTTATTTTTTCATCATTTACTCAATGCCATTCCAAACCGTGTGATCCTATAGAAAATGTTCACACTTATATATTTTTTTCCATTCAGTGAAAACATTAAAGGCTTTCAAGCTGTGAAATGGACTAAAAAGCATCATAAATGTACCATAAATCATCATAAAAGTAGTCCATGCGACTCATTCATTACTGTAGTTTTATGTCAGGAACAGACTGAAAGTGGAATGACATGATGATGAGTAATTGACAGATTTAAGTGAACTGTTCCATTAATGTGCTGTAAATATCATATAATAAATGTGGTGTCCAGGTTTACAGTAAATATAAGAAACAAAGACCCGCCCCTTTATTAGATTCGGTCAGATTTGTGCATGTTGGCACAGTTGTATGCTACGTATAAGCTTAAGTTATCACAGCCAATATGGGCTAAAAACAAAAGCAGTGATAATATATTGATAATGTGAATGAGATTATGATGTTACATTTAGAAGAATTAATGATGTAACGCGTGACTGATGTCTAGACATGGTGCAAATAAATGGTAATGCAGTGTGAAGAGCCACAGAACAAAGAGCCATTGTGTTTGGTTGTGCTCTGAAACACTTCAAACCACGCTTGGATGTGCCGGAGACTTGACTGGCATGTAATATTTATGCTTGTCTGAATATTTATTGTGAGAGTGAGTACGCCTGTGTCAAAGAAGGTCAAATGAGACAGAACCAAGATATGAAAACAATGGCTGTTTGAAGCTGTGAACACCAAGAATTAATGGTGTTTAGTGTCAGATACCAACCGTGCAAAATTACCAGCCAGCACAAATGTGGCCAGTGGGGCTGTAGAGAATTCGGTAGTTGTTGTATTGCCTGCTAAAACCAATATTAATGTGTGTGGGTGTTTATGTTGGGGACAATGTTGCATATTTTTTTAATTTATTTCTTGTGATTGGGACACATTATGCTTCTCTAGCAACCAATTAATCATAAAAATAGAGGTGCCAGGAAGACCGAGAGAAGGGGAATTATTAACACACATTTATATACATTGTCAAAAAGTAATAAGCATGTATTTCTTGTTGACCTTAAACTTTATACTGTTAAACTGTGTCCTGCCTAATATTTTTTTAATATATACATATATATACTGTATATATTTGAGTGTATATGTGTGACGCAGCGAGGATGTAATGTAGAGGAGTTGTCAATTTCAAGAGGTGTGAAGAGTTTACTTATTAGGCTGCTTGAGTGAAGTAGGATCCGTAGAAACGCTTCAGAGGTTGATGGGTTTTAATGAGCCCTGTTGCAGTCTCGGCACTAATTACATGATCTATGTTTCCTGAAGCTGAAATCTGCACTGCAGTCTGATCCTAAATAGCATTCTGGTGAATCTCATGGAACCTGTCAATAACATATTCAGGTCATATTTCACGCTAAAATTAAAAGAAAATATGAAAATCATATTTTGCATCAAGAAAGCCTATTTCTAAAAGCATTTTGCACTGTAACAATGTTCTTCACAATTAAGCACAATTCCCCAAATTGCCATTATTTTAATTTAGGAAACAATCTTATTCTCATAATCATAATGCAAGAAAAAAAATCTCATTCTCATTACTGTAATGCAGAAAAAAATATCGTTCTCATTACTGTAATGCAGAAAAAAAAATCTCATTCTCATTACCATAATATCAGGGGGAATAGAATCTTCATTACCATAATGCAGGAAAGAATACTACTAACATTACTATAATGCAAGAAAAAACCTATTCAGATTATTGCAAGAAAAAAAATCGAATTCTCATTACCATAATATCAGGGGAAAAAAAATCTTCTTTACCATAATGCAAGAAAAAAATGTCTTGCTCTCATTGCCACAATACAAAAAAAATAAAATAAATCTATACACATTAATGCAAGAAAAAAAATCTCATTCTCATTACTGTAATGCAGAAAAAAATATCGTTCTCATTACTGTAATGCAGAAAAAAAAATCTCATTCTCATTACCATAATATCAGGGGGAATAGAATCTTCATTACCATAATGCAGGAAAGAATACTACTAACATTACTATAATGCAAGAAAAAACCTATTCAGATTATTGCAAGAAAAAAAATCGAATTCTCATTACCATAATATCAGGGGAAAAAAAATCTTCTTTACCATAATGCAAGAAAAAAATGTCTTGCTCTCATTGCCACAATACAAAAAAAATAAAATAAATCTATACACATTAATGCAAGAAAAAAAATCTCATTCTCATTACTGTAATGCAGAAAATCTAACTCTCATTACTGCAAATAATAAATCTATACACATTAATGCAAGAAAAAAAATCTAATTCTCATTACCATAACAAAAATAATCTAACTCTCATTACTGCAATGCAATGCAAAAAAAATGTAAAATTTACATTAATGTAAGAAAGAAAATCTCACTCATTACCATAGCAAAAAATAAAAATAAAAAATCTTACTCTCATTACCACAATACAAAAAAAGAAACATGTAAATGAAAAAAATAATGACAAAAAGCTCTTTCTTACTACCACAATGCAAGGAAAATAATTCACACTGTCATTACCATTATGTTGGTTGTTCTACTCTAAATTTTGACACTATTTTAAATATTCTCATTATCACCCAATTGATAAATTGATCAATATGATAGATTTTTATTACTGTGATACAGTAATTTGTTGCTACATTACATGCTGTTAAAAAAATCACCATAAATTCAAACCACCCTACCTTAAATTTGTATAAATGCTTTACAATCAAAATTGAATTTCACATTACAGTACTGGCAATTGGGGGGGAAATGTGCTTAATTGTCATGATTTAGTCCAAAATATAGGCTTAATCTTCTTTAACCAAAATATCATTTGTAATTTCTTTCTGTATTTGTTGGTGAAATATGACCAGGATAGGCTATAAAACACTGTCAAACTCTGTCCAGTCTAAAGTGACATCTCCACTCCCTGTGTGTTTAGCATTCTTTCATAGTCTGCCAGTGTGCTTAAAGAAAAGTGTATTTTAACTATATAACTCATTTGGTCTTCCTGTTGAGCATGTGTCCGCATTCATATGTGTGAGAAAGAGTGTGGGAGTTTGCTGTGAATCATTTTAAATATCTTGCCATTTCTTGACAAATGCCTTTAAGCACCTGCTTGCCATTTTATTTTTGTGATCCATGTTGATGTACCTTTCACTGTTCAGATCATCATTAAAATTAAGTAAAAAGCTCTCCTTTCCCCTTATTGAAAGCAGCAATAGAACAGATTTTCAATATTGTGAAGATCTCACATTATTCCTGTTACCGTCAAAGGATAAATGCTGTGCTGAAATGAAAAAGTAACAAGTAATTTATTTCTACAAAGTCACCAATTTTACCAGCTTGCTCTGATTTTCTTTCAGCGGAGTGCCTACAGGCAATCAAACCAAATGCAGAAAGGAAATGCATTTTGTGTAGTAAAAACTGTCTTTTTTAAGCTGCATGTTCTGTTTGAGGTGTGAGAGACTCGAAAACACTTTTACTTATTATATATGAATAATGTTTTTTAAAAAATTCAGGAAAATAGGTTAATTTTGAATGTATTTTTAAACCTACAGCACTGGCGTCTCTGGGACCCCAAACATGAAGACACTAAAGTTTGCATTAACATTTAAATGCATGGATGTTTTGTCAGTCATTCTTACATATTCAGGTCTTTAGCAGCCCAGAATCTCTATCTAACAGATACTGTAGATCTCTGAAGTGAAGAGATTTTTTGATTACAAACTTAACTGAGTAATTCGCTGATCCATGAAAAAATGTGCTGATGATACTTGTGTGTTCTTGTTTTATGCCTGCAGTAATGTTTTTTTGATTATTGTTTATGAGACATTGCCTCCTCCATATATATATATATATATATATTCCTTATTACATATGTATGCATTAGGGATGTAATGGTATGACCATTTCTTATCACGATTATAGTGACCAAAATTATCACGGTTATCAGTATTATCACGGTATTGTTCAAATGTGCTGGAGATGTTAAAAACGACCGACACATAAATCACTTCACCAAGTTTTATATTTAAAAATCAACAAACAACAAATAAAATGACTTTTTGTTTGCATAATCGCTAAACAATAACATTACCAATGATGTTCGGATTTTAAATGACAATTTGACTGACAACAGTTTAATAACATGTTCAAATATCTCATGTAAATATTCAAATAAAGCTTTGAAAAAGTTTCATAAAAAGGTAAACCTCACATTTCAGCCTTTAAATAAAGACAAGAGTTAAGTCAAAATGATAATTGATTAATAGATGATTATATGTATTTTATCTGCTCCATAAATAATTCTAGATAGCTTATCTGAATTGTTTAAATGTGTAGAATCCACATAAGCTTGTTTTTCATCGACCGGTCAAAATTTACATTAGGGCATGCAAATTCGGTCCATTTTTGGCCAGACAGAAACTGCACACAGACTGAATGTTAATATAAGTCTCTGTAAATCCACTCTCTGACAGCAGGTGGCGCTTATGAAAAAGCAGAATTACAGCTGTTTCCCGTAAACTCTGTGGACAAAGCAGTATTGCGATTAAGAACACTTCCTTTAGGTATTGCTTGGAGCGAAGATGAAAACAAAATCCCATCAAATCGTTTCTGAAGACAATCAGAACCTTCAGAGGTACGTTCATATAATTAATTAATTC